ATCATGTCTTAGACTGTAATAAATTACTATTGTGTCAAACAAACCTATGATAAATATACCACTTTCTATTATAACACTTATGAGGTAAATATGAAATGGTTTTTTAAATTCCTCCTACTACTAATATTACATTGTGTCAAACAAATCTATGGTAAATAAACCATTGTGTGAAACAAATCTATGGTATATATCTCAAGTTATGACTCACTAGACATAATATTTTATATCGTGGCTAATTCATATGTATTCATGCTTTTTTGTACAGATTTCATACACTAGTAGCATGGTATTCCATAGAATTTAGCCATTTATAACATAACTGTACATGCTATAAATAAAGATGATGTAATCGTAACAGTATGTAAAATCACATGCCACTTGGGTCATGAGGTTTGAAACATAAAGCACCTTTAAGTTCGCTACGTTCTTCACACAATAGATATCTCTTCATACAAAATGGAACGTGATCTTGACAAAGTAAAGATTTAATCGCTGCTGTCGTGGTCTTAATAGAGTATCTGGCATTGTTTGTATTTGCTTTTGAATGCACCTGAATTCAAAATGCTCATGAATAATTAATCAAGTGTCAGTTATCTGTATTTCCGTGCAACTAAAATGTTACCTCTGAACAAAACAGACAGCGTAGATTTTTTTTTAAAATATTGATTCAAAGGTGGTAAACTTCTCAGAATGAAAACATTATTTAGAGGTAGGTGCGGAAAATTTGAGATAGTAATATTACTTACAGATCCATGATAAGATATACTGTGGCTTTGTTCTCATATATATCATGTAGTTTAACAATATTAGGATGGTTACATCTGAAAATAAACAAATATGTAAACTGATAACACATTTGATTTTATTATAGCGAAACTGTATCACATATTATTAACATACCTGAAATAAAAAAAGTTTGTTTAACAGAGAAAGAATGTTTTAAGAACATAACACATTTTATTACTATAATATATCGTAGATGAAATGGATTAACCAGGATCTTGATAAAATGAACATCACAACAGTACATATTAACAAGAATGCATGAAAGAAGTGCTGCATTTTATGCACACATTTGTGTGGTTACTCTACCCCACAGTCGGTATGGTAAATAGACGAATATAAACATACAGACATATACAGAGATGGATAAGAAATCTAAATATTTGAATAATATAATATAATATTAATACTTAAAATTAGTGCATAAATATAGATTAATTTCAAATTAACGAGTCTATTGTTATGAAATTAAAATAAGAATTGAACTACATTGTGTAGGCACAGTATTAATTCAATGCTGTAGTACGCAAATTTAGTTTTTTATGTTTTTTTTTTCACTGGCATTAACCACTGCAGTGCAAATATTGAAAATATCTATATATTTTAAAATTTAGTGCCTAGCAACCAGCGTCTCATTCTATGGTTAGCACCACAGCACAATATTCTGGGATTTCTGCTGAAATTCCACTCATTAACCAGGTGAATTTATTTGCAACATACAAACGTATTGCAGAATGTGGCAATTGCACCTCATCACTGTGGCATGTATCAGTTTTTTCATCTATTATTCATAGCATTAATATAGTCTGATTAGTAATGTATTATAAACAGTCAATCACTGTCATGGTCACAGCAGAAATTAACCACCAAATTATAAGCTGATTACGAGGCTAGGATCATCTTTATTAATGGGCGAACACACGACTTTGTGCTAGATTTGAGATGATAAACATATTGATTTCATCACAACCCTAGCAACAATTCAATGTATCGGCAATTATGCATACGAGTTTTGATCTGGGCAAAATTGACCTTTGAGAAGTATTAGTTGTCTGAAAATGTACACAGTACTCATAGTGGATAGAAAACATGTAGCATCAGATATATAACCTTTGGTACCATCTCTCTTCTTATACACTCTGATCCACACAACATTCAAAGTTGTTTCTGTGGATGTGTACACACTGCATAATGTTATCAGCAATTTCATTCATATTGGACTGTATCCAAAGCATGCACAATGAAACAGGCCAAGAATAAAAAAAAAATGTAAATCTATCAATATTTCAAAATTAGTTTACCACAGTAACATAACATAGCGTTATTTTTAACTGCTTAAATGATGGAGATATTACTGTTAATTTCCAATACGTAATACATGTACATATATTAAATTTATAAAAAATCTAGAAAGTTCATTACAAGTGGAAGAAACGTGTCTGGGTGATAGTTGACCTGTCAAATCAAATGCATTGTACAAATTTGTTAATAAAAATGCGCCAATAGAGAATAAACATGTAATGTAACCCTTAAGGAATGGTGTTGGAAGATGACTTGATCTAGAGAGAATGCTTTATATTCTTCACATCATTAAACTTACTATATTTCAATTTATTGCATGAATGCCTTTGATTTTTTCTCAAATCAGATTGTTCCACAGGGTAAGAAATATCAGAATAACATAAACTCAGAATAATGTGGGCACATTTACTAAGACACTGTTTGAACCAAACACTGATAGACTGCCAAAAATTTGAAAGTAATCTTCATTTCAAAATGATGCTTTAAAAAGTTTAAATGCAATGCTCAAAATCATAGTTTTCACTAGAATTGCACACCAAAATATTACAAAATTACATTTTAAAATCATATATCTAAAAAGGCTTTCAATTTCTAAAATAACAATGGCAGGCATATTCTGTGAGAAGAACCTGCCTAATAAAAAATATAAAGTGCATGTACCAGCCATTTCATTTATGCTGATTCTGAATCTATTTATTTTGAAAATGCAGTTACTCGCTTCATGAAAATAAAAAATTGCAGCCCTAGATTGATATAACAAAGTTTATGAATTTTTAAATGGAACACTATCGACTTAGATGACAAGAAATTTATTTGTAGGGGTCTAGGGTAACAGAGACCAATGGAGTTGGATATCCACCACAGGGAAAACTCCAAAGTGTAAGAAATTTTTATACCAGTTTGCACAAGATAAACAATACTACACAAACTCTGCAGTGTGTCCTCCATACAGGAATTTGGACTGATACAACATCTGTTAACATATCAATGGTGAAATAAACAATATGTACTTGTTATTTAATTAGACACATCACAGGGTCAAAAATGCATCTTCACACTCATTGCCAAATTTATCTTTAGGCTCATCAAGATTTTGGCCACTTATTATTGTAAAATATGCTTGTCCATTGTACAACCCATCTGACGATAAGAATGTGCCAAAATCATGATACTGTAAAATACTTTATTTTAGCTGGAATATTTTCACTGAAAAGGCTTTTTGCATGTTTTGTATGGAATTTATTTTCACTGATTTTTGACGAGTTGAATGTAAAATATAGGAAAAAACGCATATTTGCTAGATTTTATTTTCACTGGATCATCCCTTCAGCGAAAATTAATTCTAAGTGAAAATAAAGTATTTTACAGTATATTATTATCTTGCACAAGTTTTACAGTTGAATTGTATAACAAAATAAACTTGGGAACAATAGTGCAGTTGTCTCAGTGAACATATAGATAGATGGACAAAATTAGAAAGAAATTTAATTCCAACCCAAAAGAACTGCATAAAGTTACCATAGTTGCTACAAAAAGATATATTACAACTGTATTTGCAAAATTGTGTACAAGTGAAGATCTCTATGGGTGGGGTGGGATAGAGGTCATATGGCATTGAATTTCAGGGAAATTGTGTCTTTACAAATCATCAATACTCAACAATTTCTAGAAACAAAAATTAAGCGACTTATACATGTAGTAGTTATTAAAACTATTGTTGCTTCGTTAGGTTGGAACAAGGCAAGAAAATATTGGCTAAATTCTGAAAGAATTGTGAGGCAGCCATTGTTGTTTTTGAATTGATAACACACAGAGGTATTACAAATTTTGCAAAAGAAGCTTTGACATTAATTTTACGGATGATGATTTTGCTTGTTAAAGTGCCTGTGCAATGCCCACCCTCACGTTTCCCATTTTAGATCTGTGTCCCACTGAAATGGACAATTATTGATTTTTTTGCCGAAAATGATTACTCGTATCCAAGTAAATTTGGGATATTTCTCGTGTTGTAGCCACGCCCACCTATCCTGAAACGAACGACTCTTTCCGGATTTCCGACTCTCGCCGAAAGTGCGCCACCAAATGCCAAAATGTGAGAGGAAGTCATACCCCTGAGCCGTAATAACACTGGTCATACAGTACTTTTAAACGATATATATTTTTTGGTCGGCGTTTTGTTTTCTTTTTTTTTGACTATTTTAATTTTTTGAGAGAGAGTTTTTAGATGTTGTGTTGTGGGCAGTTGCAGTGAAACGTATAGTCATAGTGTAAGTATTCACACATTTCTAATCGACCTGAGGTGCAACATCAGTGGACGAAAACCACTTAACCTCAGATTCATTTTTTTTTGGGAGAAACTGTCGTCGTCCATGAAAAAACAACGTCGACAACATAAACCTGGCGCAACACTTTTGAAAGAAATAGATTCCGGACCATGATCACCGAGGTGGATTGTGAGAGAGAGACGTCCGGCAAGTGTTTCAAATGAGTTGACTTTTTTGCGATCCTGACTATCGTTTTATAGAGACCATTTAGTCCCTGTTAGGTAAAAGGTAGCAATAATTTTGACAGTGACACGAAAATGAAGCGTCGAACAAACAGGAAATTACACAGCCCTTACACACTGCTAATTGTTTTCATTTTCGAAGGCTAAAAGTTTCTGAATTGTTTGGTGATTGGTGTTGAATGTCGATTTCCACGCGGCTGTCATTTATTTAGTAACTGTGTTTTGTCGTTTTTTTAAGTATTTTATAGTGATCACTATAGTCTAATGTTTAGAATGTCAAAATATGTTCTCTTTTATTTTAATTTTGAAAGTTTTACTCAGACGATCGATGAAATACAACAGTGTAGTGACGTGCCTAGTAACCTGCTAAATAACGAGATAATTCCGACGTCAAATTCTATTTTGTCCAGCGACAGTGCACAAACGTGCACCGGTGACGATCACGGTGACCAGCTACACCAGCACGGACATATTTCGCATCTAACTCAATCCCATGCAACAAAAATTGATACTATGTGTTCATTATGGTCCATTCCTCCTCGACGAACAAGTACATAAGTGAAAATTTAGTCAAAGACGAGAAAACTGCACAAGAAATTTGACGTATTTACACGTATCGGCAATGCAAGCTGCCATGCGACTTCCCCTTCTGACGTCACAAGGGGAATTTCTGTATGCAAATGATGA